GCTGCTGTTGCTGCTGCGTGTCAATGCAAACTTTGCTGACTTGCATGCGAATGTTGCTTGCACAAACATTGAGGCGAACTGCAAAGTTGTCGTCGTCAGTTGCTCTTCTTGCTGTTGTTGTTGTTGGCGTTGTTGTTGTCTTGTCTTTGCTGCTGCAACACAAACAACAACAGCAACTGCATTGGCTCTGGCTACGGCAGCAACCGCTTGGCTTGTTGGCCTGTGCGACCACAGCTGGGTGTCCTGTGCGCGCACAGTTAAGCAAACTTTGAGGGCAAAGGGTTGGTACGGCGGACAGCGCCCTGGACAAGCAGCAATAGCTGTCAGTGCAGACGACTAGCGAGAATATAGCCAGATCTACTGTTGCTATATATTGTTAGCATATGGAAATAATGGAAATGGAATTTGGCCTAGACCTATCTCTGACTATCAATATGGCTCTCTGTATGATTAGCATCATCATTATCATTATAATTATTATAAGCATCATCATCCCAATCAACATCATATTCATCATTCATCTTCATCATTCTTCATTATCATTCATTATCATTATCATTCAACACTCATCATTCATCATTCATCATTCATCATTCATCATTCATCATTCATCATTCATCATTCATCATTCATCATTCATCATTCATCATTCATCATTCATCATTATCATTCATCATTCATCATTCATCATTCATCATTCATCATTCATCATTCATCACTCATCATTCATCATTCATCATTCTCAATGCATCATTCATCATTCAACATTTATCATTCATTATTCATGTCATCATACATCATTCATCATTTATCATTCATCATTCATCATTCATCATTCATCATTCATCATTCATCATTCATCATTCATCATTCATCATTCATCATTCATCATTCATCATTCATCATTCATCATTCATCATTCATCATCTTCATCCTTCCTCATCTTTATTATTCTTTATTATTACCATCATAATCATTATTCATCATTCATCAGTATTGTTCATTATCATCGTCATTCATAATTATTATTCATCATTCATCACCATGAACTTTCTTTTCATTTTCATGATCATCATCAGCATAATCTTCACCAGCATCATCATCACAATCATCAAGTTCATAAGCATCATAATCATCATCATTGTCAACGTCATCTTTCATCATTATTACTTGTATCATAATTATCATTTATTACATCATTTTTGCTATGATGATTCCTGGCATTATCACCATCATTATCATCATCTAAATCATCCTCATTACCAACATCTTTATTATTTTCTTTATCATCGTAATTATCTTCATCATTATCTTCATCATTATCATCATCATTGTCATCATCTATCTATGCTTAATCAATTCTAGCTGCCTGCTTCTGCCTATTATGGCTACAGTTGGAAGCCAAGTTTAGCTATAAAATGGCTAACTAGACAGCGCTGCTGCGTAAGTTGTCAGTTTTGCAGTTGGTGTTACATTTTTACGTGCTCCAACGCCCAATGATGGCACGCACACACACAACTGCAGTAATCAAACACGCACACACACACGCACATTCAACTCGGTGGTCAGCGGACAACGCCTACGCAGTGAGAGTTCGCGGCAATGGCCAGGCAACATGATAAATGTCCAATCTCTGGCACAGGCTAGGTAAGCAGCAGCTGGAGGGCTATGAGTACGTGCTTGGCAGGAGCAGGACGTGTGCCAGTGAGTTATGCGGCAACAACAACGAGAGCAGCTTCAGTCATGGCACAAGATTATTCGGCCAAAATCAATTAAAATGCCAGGCGGCATGACTCACAGGAGGGACCCCAAACGGTGAACGGCGAACAAAGATTGTGTCTGATGGAAGTAAAAAGGAGACACATCACAGCGCTGAGGTTGGTCTTCAAAAACTGTTGAAAGCTTTGCCCATTGTCTGTCGGTGTGAGTGTGAGTATGGAAATTACAACGCTTGTGCCTGAAGTCGGGATTTGCATATACCCAATCATCATCATCAACAGCCGCAGCAACATGGAGTCTCTCACACTTGACCCCATTTTCTGAGCGGGCGGCACGTTCTGTAATCGATCATCAAGGCAAAAAGTGGCCCGCATGTCAGCGGCTCATCCGCATCAACAAAGTGCAGACATTGTGGCGTTGCCGATTGCAGGCGTGCAGCAACATCAACAGCAACACCATCAGCGAGATTCAACGCATTGGGGCAATAACAATGCGCATACCACAGATATCAATTAATTTCAGCGACGTGAAAAGGCCAACAAATCGTAATAAGTCAATGCCTGGCACACAGGGTTCGAGCCGTGGCCTTTTTTCAACAGCCAACAGCCAACAGCCAACAGAATCTATTGATAAACACAAATAAGTTTGTGTTGTGCCAGTGTGTGTGTGCATCGAGTGGCAGGATGAATGTCTATGTGTCGATAAGTCCGCGTGCCTCTGCTAAGAATCCAGCACAGCATTCGATGCAAAGTCACAATCATCATCAATCGGTTAAGAAAATATTTAACAAGTGTTTGAATGATTTTGAAAAATGATGTGCAGCATGTGCAGCAGCAGCAGCAGCAGCAACGACATTGGATACGATTCTGGACGCTGCTCGAGCAACAGCAACAGCTCTACAAATTATTGCACGCGATCGCTCATTTCCAGCAGAAATAACACAAACACGGCAGCAGCAACAACAGCAACAACAGCAGCAACAACAGCCAAGATTCGATCATAAACCAGGCAGTCAGACCGGCAGCTAACCCGTTCCGTTCAGTCCATGCCCCATACCCATACCCATACCCATGCCCATGCCGATGCCCGTGCCCATATAACCGTATCCGAATGCGATGTAGAGATATAGCAAATAAGATATGGCTGGGGCATGTCATGCGCCCGCGACTGTGAAAACATCTCAATGGCAAAAGTATCACATCATTCATAATTTCATTGCCGGGCAAGTGGGAATTGGGGAATTGAAGATGGAGATGGAGATGGAGATGGTAGGTAGGGGTATTTGGGAATTGAGTTGTTGTAGCTTGCCACAAAAAAAATCTCTTGCCTCAAGTGTTGAATGTTTGCTCAAATAACAACAACAGCAACAGCAACAGCAAAGGCAACGGCAGCAGCAACAACATTGATTCACAGATCTCGAGCTCTCGATCTTGTTGTCGATCTCAGTCAGAGGCGCGGTGAAATTTGACAAATGAACCACCAAAAAAATATATATGTGTGTGAATATATATATATATATATATGTATATAGTGATAGCATGATCATTATTAATGATGACGATTTGTTGATATTTTTGTAACGTGTTGTGGCAACGGCTATGACTGCGACCTGCCCGTTCTCCGATCTCCTTTCGACAATTACAAACAAGTGCAGTCCTGAATAAATGTCAAGTCACGCACAGCCACCCGCCTGATGATGATGCACACAAATTGCTGACCAGCTGCTGCTCTGTCTGATCGAACGTCGGATCGACTTCAACTGCTGCTGGCCGGAAATCTTTGCATAATCTAGGCTTATAATTCAATTAATACGATGGCTTGTGCACTTAATGCCGAGCCTGAAGTGCAACACTAGAATGCTGCCACATGACTGGCAACTCGAGTGTCGAGTGGACGATGCTACTTCTCCTCCTCCCGCGCCTCCCGCTCCTCCCGCTCCTCCCGCTCCTCGTCAGCCATCAGGCAGGCAGCTCTCCCTCTTCAGCAGCGCCGTCACACTGTCTGCTTCAGCTGCAGCATCGATCTTCTGATCTGTCTCGATCTGTGTTCGTGTGCACCGGAAATCGATTTCGAGTGTTGCCAAAGATCAGTTGGCATTAGCAAGTGTCGCATTAGCGTTCAATTGCGCCACGCTCAAGCTGCTCCGAACACTTGCCTTAAAAGCTTACAGCTGCCTTACAGTTACAGTCTTGATCAGCTATAGCAAATATTTGATCTGCCCAATGAGTGGTTAACTCTGCGTTGTTTCTAACTAATTGCAGTCGATAGCTCATTTCTAGCAATATATAAGAGTACTCATTACTTTAAAGCTAAGATGAGATCAAACTCTAGCTATCGATTAATCGATTTGTCATGTATTCAAAAGTGATTAAGAAGCTAATCATAAGAAAGCTAATTTGGCACTTCCCTAAACTCATGAAGATCTTTGATTCGTGTTTGCCATTTTCTTGCTGCTCTGCTACTTGCTGCAAAAATCGATCAGTTAATCGATAAAGTAGAGCTAGTTATATGATCTGTTTTTTAGCTTATATTAAAAAACCCTTCTTAGCAACAAATATTCTATTGCAAGCTTTCACTTTTTCTTGGCTAGTTTTTTAGTATACTACTAGTTATCGTTATCGATATCGATAGACAAAAGTTGTGAAGGCAGCATTACTTCTTAAGCCTGTCTCTTCAGGGCAACACTTGCTTTGCGCTGATTTTCTGCTATGTCATAGGGCTTATCACTCGACTTGCACTTTCCACCGATAAATAGATCACACAGTAATCGATTTGTTTTTAAAAAGGGTTTTCTGTTTTGCATTTTAATTGATTTCGATTCATCATTAATTGTATAATTGTTTTGTAATTCGTGTTAACTAAATAGTTTAGTTTCAATTAATCAATTTGCGTTGCTTATCAATTTCGGCTATTATAGAACTATGTACAAAATGCCTGGCCAGTTACAGTTATATATATATTTATATATATATAGGTATACATTTGTTTATACATTTAAAAAACAAGAAAATAAACAATAACAACATTTCTCATGATAGGCATATACATATACATATAGAGTAGAGTGTTTAAATATATTACAAAAGCCTTGGCAAGCAGCTGCGTTTCTATGCTCTAACAACTAAACGTTAGATGGACAGAGATAGAGAGTGAGAGAGAGAGAGGGACAGATAGATATAGTGTGTGTGGGCAGCGGGGCAAAACACTTAACAATTAGGCATTAAACTAAATTAAATTTAAATTTCATTTAAATTAAATTAACTAAACTAAGCTTAGGTTGTTTGTTTTTTTTCTTCTCTTCTTCATCTTCATCTTCTTCTTCTCCTCATTCTTCATTTTATAGGCTATGCAGGAATGTATGTGTTGTATTCTGAGATGTATGTGGATAATGACGACTGGGCAAACAATGCTCAAAGCATCGAAACAGATTGATCAACTCCGATTAGGTGTCTTCAGCGAGTTTTCCGTGTTGCAAGTTTTCTTCTTCTTCTTCTTCTTTTTTGTATTTTTTGTTTTTCATTTCATATGAGCGTCGCAACGCTATACATAAAATTTTGACTAGGAAAGGACGTTTTCTTTTTAGATTTCTCGTTGCTCGAGTGCAGCCCACAACCAGCTAAAGCCAAAGCGTTGATCGCTAGCGATGAGCACGTGCTGGCGAGGACTGCTGCAGTCACACCTCGCTGGGCATACAGTGAACGCTCGAATCTTGCGACAGTTCATCCATGGAGGATTCTGAAGGACGACAGAGATAGCAGGGAGAGAGAGAGAGAGATGGAAAGAGCAAGAGTTAGACTTGATTTAAGCAGAGTTTCGCTTGAGTATTGGGTCTTACCATGCGCTGGGTACAGAGCCCCTTTGCTGCCATTCATGTGCATGGGATTCTGTGCGTTATTCTGAAATGAATACGTTAACTGCAGGTTAATATGACGCGCAAATGAGCTTCCTTCCGGTTCGCGTACTGCAATCAAAAATCGTTTGTCAAATTCATAAGTTAGCATCGCGTCATTGATGATATTTCTATAGATATAGTAAGTTAGTAAGTAGTACTAGTTAATAAAGCTACTTAATGTTAAGTGTGGTGTTGTGGCTGGTGTGGGTGTCGGGGGTGGCGGGGAGGGCGGTTGCATGCTGCACTAATCCACTACTTACTTTTATTCTTACCAGCATGTATGTGTTTTTTTTGACGCGCACGCGAATTCTGAAACCAAACTTGCGTCACTCGCTTGCTCAGACCAGTTACGGAGGCGATGCGCTCCAAATCCTGGCCATCCGGATTACTGTCAATCTGAAAGTTGGCCTGCAGCACTTGCAACTGCTCCTCGGTAAAGGTGGTGCGCACGCGTTTCGTTTTACTCTTGTGATAACCATCACCATCACAGCCATCTATACAAAGAGATCAAGTGGAATTTCAGTTAGCAATGCGACTATAAACACTCTATAGATATATATATATACATATACATATGTATATGGATCTGGCGAGTACGTGCCTAAGTCTGTGTCTAAAAGCATTTTGACAGTAGACCAAATTGAAAATGTCAAAAGTGTTTATAGTTTATAGCCATGTGGCTGGCCGCCTGCCTGCCTGCCTGCTTGCCTTTATGGCCAACAGCTTCTTGGTGGTCAGCAACAACAACGCGTCGAGCAACGCGCACAAACAACATTCTGAAGCCGATCACGTCGTCTGGCGCGTCGCGGCTTTGACTCTTTATGCCTCAGTTATGACACGATTTCATCAAGGAGCTGGCGACTACCTGGCGCTTAGTGGCCGCCAAGCGTTCCAAATTGCCATACCGATTCGCTGGCAACCGAACCATGCAACATGTTGCAACATATTTACTTATTTTTCTTTGTTTTCTTCGTTTTGGTGTTTTTGCTTTTATGACATTCTGATTTTTTGGTTCCGCTTACCGTCACTTGATGTGGTGCCACCCTCGACCGTTTCCAGATAATGAGCCTTGCAGAGCACGCGGTCATCCATGAGCGCAAACTGTTCCCCGGTGGACAATTGCCGTCCGCATTGATCGCAGGCAAAGCACGCCAAATGGAATACCAAATCGCGCGCCCGTCGCACCCAGTCGGAGGCGGAGATGCCGCGACAGCATTTCGAGCACTTGGCGCCGAAATTTCTGCAAAGCAAATAGAACGGAAATTGTGGTTAATGATTGATATGGCAAGTGGTTTTTATATTGATTGAGATATATATTATTAATATGTGTGCACTGCGGCGCTGTAATTACTCTACTGCAGGCGTTTTAGACGCGACTTGCGCGCGTTTATGACAACAAAATGTGATTTATTCCAGTTACTCTGAAGATGTCGCCTAGCGTTTTACGCGCGTTTTTTGTGCGTTTTTTCTAGAGGTGTTTTTGATTAATATACATGTTGATTGGTTGATATAAATAAGTATCCTTGAATTGCTTGACTTAGGCATACATTTAGCCTACATTTTATGCCTGATTTGATGCCACGCGTTTTACTAGCGTTTTCTGCGCGTTTTTGCCATAGCTGCTAATATAGCTCACATATGAATTTATAAGCTTTGTATCCTTAAAATTATCTATTAATCAATTTATTTAGCTTATCTTCAAGTTCTGCTATCGCGCGTTTTGCTAGCGACTTGTGCGCGTTTTTATTGCGTTTTCTGTCAGCTACTAAAAGCTGCCAAACTAACTTTACTCTATGTATCTATAAATAAAGTAGCTGAGGTCAAGCGTTTTGCACGCGTTTCACCAGCGACTCACGAGCGTTTTCGAAGCGATTTAACATAAGCCAAAAGTTTTTTGTTTCTCAAATCTGCAATAGATTTGACGCGTTTCTCTGGCGTTTCTCAAATTAACGCTTATTGTTTGTCCATAAGCATGGGGCAAGCACTCTATAGATTCGATTTTCTTTGACTGCTCGCTGCACGTTTTTCCAAGCGGAAGTTGCTGCGACTCTCTTGCGCCTGTGCGTTTTTCCAAATGAGTTGGCAACTTTGGCCAGCTTATTGTTAGCTTTTAAGCTTATTTTTACAAGCACAACATTGTGCCAAGATGACTGGACCGCATGGCCCCATGGACGCTGATGTCTCCATCTTCAGTTGCCACCTCGCCCGGCCCCTTGGCGGCCCACAGCGCCCAATGCACACTTAAAATTCTTAACTTGAAAAATAAATATTTTTACAGCATCTCACGGCGCGTTTGTTTGTTTATTTTCATTTCGTTCGCCGTCGACACCGTTTTCCGCCTGTGTGGACAGCAACAGACCAGGCGACGTGTGTGTGTGTGTGTGTCTGTATCTGCAAGTGTGTGTGCGTGTGTGTGTGTATCTGTAAGATACTTTGCTTGCAACTTGCATTTAAACTCTGTCTCGCTCTCTCACTCTCTCTCTCTCTCTCTCTGCAAGGCGCTGTCGTCGCGTTTTGGCCGCATCTTTCGACTTGGCTGTTTATCTTAGGGATTAAGTCGCAACGTTGTCGAATTGTTACAATTAACCTTAGACTTTATGTTCCACTCGCTTATCATGTGTGGGAAAATATGTGGAAAACACTTGTGCACACACACACAGAGGAGTTGGAGGAAAATCAAACAATGATCGCATCGATGAAGAGATATATCGAGAAAGTTTCTAACAAATTGAAACCAGGCCAAGATATATATATATAGTCTAAGGCTGTAACTGATTTAGTATATACCATATATAAATATATATATATATATATATATATATATATATATATGTGTGCTTAAGCTAAGTTCCCATTGCTTATTTGATAACTGATCGAGGTTGTCTTTATACTCACTTGCTGTAGTCGGCCTTGCAGTAGACCTGGCGTTCCCTGATGAAGCACGACTGTTGGCGATCCAGCGGGCACATGCACATGCAACATCTGAGGCAATGGGCGTGCCACGAGCAGCCGCCAACCTCGAGAAAAAATCGATCCGAGATTGGTTCGCCGCACGCTGCGCAGGAACGCAGCTCAGTCTGCGAACGAAAAGAAGATGAAAACCGATTTAGATCAAATGTTCAATTCGATAAGTATACAATACAATTTAGATAAGTTTCTATATACGTAATAAGCTGATTGATATTGAAAAAGATCATTTAAAGATCAGTGCACCCGGGCTAACTTCTGGCTTTGAATGTAAATTGCTCCACAACCGCCGCAACAAAAGAGCGAAATTTATTTGCTCGTTTGATCTGAAACTTCAAATGCCGAACCGGTTCACAGTTCACAGTTTTCTGTGCTACGCCGATCTCAACTCTAATCGTAGCGCCCGTTTGGCATCTTTTGTTATGCTTTCAGCTCAAATCGCTCAATAAATCTATCGAATGCGCCGTCGGCTTCTGTTTTATATCATTCGCTGCAACATTTAACTTATGAATGTGTATTAAAATTCCAACAACAATGACACTAGGAAATGTCTATGGATTAGCAGACGAGTTTCTTTTGTTTCGTTTTGTTTTGCTTTTGTTTTTGCTTCAGTTCAGATCGAAACATAAATTTCAAAAAACCTTATGTTAATTGTTACCATTTCAATGTAGCTGCGTCGCAAATCGCAGTCACGATCACAGTTTGTGTCACATATTCAGCAGTAACAAAAACCTGGCCAAAAACCCAAACAATATTTGACTAATTTATGGGCCATCAGCTGTGTGTATCTTATGCATATTCATTTCCACTTTTTGACTGCATTTTACGCCGTTTTTCAAACTGTTCCAAGCCAACATTTTATGTCTCTCTCTGTCTTTCGCTGTCTCTCTCTCTATATATATATGTTTTTTTTTTATTTTAAATGTATTTTCTGTGTTCTCATAATATATCAATAACAAGTCTTAATTCAACAGCTTGAACTTTTTGATTTAATTTCAGCTAATTATTGGCCAAAATGAAACTTGAAGCTGCCTTTGGCCTAAGACTAAAGTTGTAAATATAATTTATAAAAATATATTTCGAGTTAGTCGTTCAGTGTTTCATAATTTAAATACATATATAATATATATTATTTATATTTAAAATTAATTTCATATAAATTATTCACATATTACGAAAATATAATTATTTCGGTTTGATTTTTCCCATGATTCTCTTTGGACTTCTTTAGAATTTACGAAAATATAACTAAGTCTTGACATACTGTGAGTCTTTTATATATGCTTAAATTTCAAAAAAGCTTACAAAATGTCATATATTGTATTATATTCATTGACTTCTTAAAGATCTTAAAACAAACATTTGCATTGAACTGGGCATTCAACTTTGGCTTTGGCTTTGAAACTTTCAACTTCAATACAAAAATATAAAGTAGATCAATTTTATATGTATATATATTACAACTATCTATTCAGTCAGTTTGCACTTTCCTACAATTTACTTAGTAACATCATTTTCCTAAATAAAAGTTCTCTCTCTAAAATCCGCTTCCTCTTCCAGCTACAGCTTCATCTCCATTTGACCTTCTACAAATTGAATCATTACCAAAACGATTTCAGCTTCTCAAAACTCCAATGCCTTATTACTACAATGCTTGATTAAATTGTTTAATGGTTTCGGCTACCGACAAAGTTCAAGACTTCAATTCCAATTAAATGTCGATTAATTCTTATTTAAGCCAAACTTTTGTCTACTTTAAAACGTTTCAATTTCTCTCATTTGAACAAATTTTTTGTATACAGCAGCGAATGCAGAGCGCCTGGCTTTAGGCACTTAATTAATGGCTAGCGTTTTGCATATTTTCAAATTCATTAACAACAACAAAAAATTGTCAACGGAAAAAATAAATAGGCAGCAGCAGCAGAAGAAGAAGAAAACGGCAACGGACAGTTCAAAATTGTTTTTCCATTAATCAAAGCAGCAGAGAAAATAAATTTACCGTTTTTACAAATTAATTGCTGTGGCTGCTGCTCTTGTTTTTGTTGTTGTTGTAGCAAAACAATTGTTTTTTTTTTTGCAACAGCAGCAGTAGCTGGCAGCTTGTTATTAACTTTGGCTGACAAATTTTCAGTTAAAAGCGAATGCCGACACGAAAAAAAACGTTGCCATTGACAAAATATACAAAATAAATACAAATAGCGCGAGACATATGCACATACAAAAGTAAATATATATAGGTATATATATATATATATATATATATATATGTCTGCCTATAGTAATATAGTCAAACAAAAAGTTGGCCGTGACTAGGCCGCAGGAAGGCGGCGCAAGATCAAAGCTGGCGACTCTCGCAAGCAGCGCCTAGGCCAATTAATAAAAAACAATAAACTATGCTATATAGATAGATGCTCAAACTAAACAAATGTGACGCAGTTAAAGAAAAACAGCAGCTCGAAGCAACAGCAACAACAAGAACAGCAAAGCAAATATATTCATGACAATTTGTAGCTACAAGCTGCCAACTATTTATATATATACACTTATATATTTATATATATAAATATGTTTTTGAGGGTTAGTCATTTGGGTAGTTTGTTTTTTTTTTGTTTGCCTGGGAAATTTGCCTTTGATATAGGAAATAAATAGCAGTCAAATGCAATATGGCCACCATCAAAGGCAGCAAGCAGGAGCAACATGTAGCTGCGCCTGTGCGCGCGTGTATCTCATAGATACGTATCTGTAGCTATGTGTGTGCGTGCGTGTGTGTGTGTAGCTATAACTACATGCTAACATGGTGGCTGCTGCTCATTTTTGCTGGCCGCTGCTGCCATTTAACTTTTCAACCGCGTCGCCTCGTGTGACACGTTTAATCGCGCCCTCCCCAGCGAGCGAGCCTGCGCGTTGACTGCCTGCATGCCCCCTCCTACCCGTGCTCCGGCAGCCCTCCTGCCTGCCCGCCTGCCTGCCTGTCACTTTCGTTTAACTTTTCACATTGCTCGAGCGAGCGCGCAGGCAACCAAAAACCCAGAAGCTGCTCGACTCGGGGTGTTTTTGCCAATTTGTTTTCCCGACGCCCGTTATAACACACACACACACGCACACACACACACAGGCACAGGCAAGGCCAGACATTGAGTTCATATATGCATTCATATGTCTCGCTGTTGCTGTTGCTGTTGCCGTTGTTATTGTTGTCATGTCTATGCCCACTTCGGCAAAATATGTCCATTGTCAGAGCTGTGCCTGAAGTGGCATTTGGCTAGAATGTCATTTGCCTGTAATTGTAACTCATGAACGTTGAGGTTTTCGCTTTGAGTTGCATAAATCTGGCACAGCTTTGAATTTCAATAAGCCCAGTTGGGCCAGACCAAGCACGAAAGGACATCAACTTTAATGTGCCCCATTTCAATTTGGATCTTTATCAGAGCAAGAGCTTGTGTAGCGCTATAATAATGGCAGATGAGGAAGCAGACTTTTCTGAGTTATTATTAACATAATTGTTAATGGGATTACTGTTAGTATTGGAATTGTTATTGATATAAGAATGAGATGAGATTTTAGATTATCATTACTTTGTAATTATATCATTAATCAATATCATTATTATTTTAATTATTAATATAATTATTAATATAATTATTAATATAATTATCATTGTCATTGTCATTGTCATTGTCATTGTCATTGTCATTGTCATTGTCATTGTCATTGTCATTGTCATTGTCATTGTCATTGTCATTGTCATTGTCATTGTCATTGTCATTGTCATTGTCATTGTCATTGTCATTGTCATTGTCATTGTCATTGTCATTGTCATTGTCATTGTCATTGTCATTGTCATTGTCATTGTCATTGTCATTGTCATTGTCATTGTCATTGTCATTGTCATTGTCATTGTCATTGTCATTGTCATTGTCATTGTCATTGTCATTGTCATTGTCATTGTCATTGTCATTGTCATTGTCATTGTCATTGTCATTGTCATTGTCATTGTCATTGTCATTGTCATTGTCATTGTCATTGTCATTGTCATTGTCATTGTCATTGTCATTGTCATTGTCATTGTCATTGTCATTGTCATTGTCATTGTCATTGTCATTGTCATTGTCATTGTCATTGTCATTGTCATTGTCAGTGTCATTGTCATTGTCATTGTCATTGTCATTATCATTGTCATTGTCATTGTCATTGTCATTGTCATTGTCATTGTCATTGTCATTGTCATTGTCATTGTCATTGTCATTGTCATTGTCATTGTCTTTGTCATTGTCATTCTGATTATTATTATCACTTTCATTAGCCTTCGACTAAGCCTATCTTGCACTTACCTAAATACCTTAGGCAATAAGTTAACAATCTCATTGATATTTTTTATTATTATAATTATTAGTAAATAATATACTAATCAATATTTAAAGAGGCAGACATCGACGCCTGCCCTCCCTCGCACTCGTCAGTGCCCCAAAGACTACCGACTTCAACCAATTCAACTTATGGACCATATTTATGGTAAATATATTCTACATGCTCAAACCTTGCCAGTTTTCTTTGAATTAAGTTCTGAATTGATGACAACTACAAGTCATTATGAAGATTTTTCATGATTTCAGCTACTATAAAAGGCAATTCATTATCATATGGACAGAATTAAGTTGGATAAAAATGCTAAAATGTCAGATAAAATACGAAAGAAATGATCTGCACATAATGATGGTAATATGAATAAACAAAAGATATTATTAACAAATTTTATAGCATACGAGAGAGATTTATACGCCCGATAAAGAACAAAGGAAAAAGTAGCTGAAAGAGCAGTTGAAGGTACTCAAAAACGGAATCCAATGCGGTTTTCTGACTTCTTGATTATGGAGAACTAGATAAGGCGGAGCAGTTTGTAAACATGTATTTCTCACATTTCTGCCAGCCAGCCATTGTCTTTTCTCTCCCTCACTCACTCACACATACACACTCTCTCTCTCTTTCTCTCTTTTAGTATTTTAGTAAATATGTGGCGTATTATATAAGGGGAATGGCTTTAGATCGCTGTCTACGCAGCCATAAAAATTCCAGGCACAAAACTTGCACCTTGCAACTTTTGCTCAAATGT